TTTTTTCCTTTTAAAACAGAGTTTTCAATTTTATATTTCATTTCTCTTGGAGAAAGGAGAGTCATCATTTGCACCCTATTTAGAAATTATAAAGTACTCTCCTTTGGATCAAGATGACCTCTCCACTCAGTTGGAAACATTAGGGAATGGTGTCTATGACGTGGGGAAGGATGAATGCTGAGTCAGCCAGGGGTATCCCAGCTTTTACTGATTCTCTCTTTGACTAAAGAATTCCTCCTTGCCTTCCATTGGGTCTTGTTGTTATTGTTGTTGTTCTTTGGTGATGATTGATATTTGTCACCCCAGTATGGATGGGATGCTGGTAGAGAGCAGAAGGACAGAAAAATAACTTGGTTTCAGTCATTGGAGCTACTAGGGAATGGTGCTCAATGATGCTCGGAGAGCTCCATGGTGACATTTTGATACCCTCCTATTCTCTGCTCAGCACCCTTCCTCCCTGGCTGCCAGGGGCCTTGGTATGTAGAGCTCTACATGGTCTCAGTTTTCCCAGATAATGATCCATTCTATGGACTTATCTCTAGCTCTTATCGAAACATCTGTCACATGTCGCATCTTCTATCAGATAGCTAATTAAGATTATGGGGTTTAGAGTTGGAAAGGACCATAGAGGTTACATCTTATTGCCTCCCATCCACCCCAGTTTTATAGGTGAAGAGACAAACTCAGAAAGGTAAGCTACGTAGCCCACATCCTATAGATAATGAATAGCAGAGCTGGAATTTGAACCTGGTTTTTCAGACTCCAAATATAGAATGCTCTTTCTGTTATTCCATAGTATCTCATATTGAGGTGTTGATAACTGAAAATGGCTGTTAGAGTTGGGTGTTTACATCTAAGGGACTGACTTCCTAATGAGGAAATTATAGTTATTATGGCAAGACTGGGCTGGGAACATATTTTTCAGGTGGGGGTGGACTTAGCATTCTTTGAAATATACCTGATTAATCTGAAGTATAGCTCTGTGTGTCTCATGAGGCCAAGAGAAAGCTCTGTTTTCTAAAATAGACTGAGTATGAAGTAGTTGTTGGCTCTTTTCATTTCATATATTTGTATATATATTTATATATAGTGTGTATGCATATATACACACACACACACACACACACACACACACACACACACACACACACACATACATATAGGCATATATGCACTTTGTTTTAATTAGCCAATAATATCCTCTTTCTCATCCTCTCCCCTCCCGCATTGAGAAAACAAGAATAACGAGACCCATTATCATATATAGTTGATTAAAACCCATTTCTGCATTGGCCATGTCCTAAAATATATCTATCTCATTCTGCATTCTGAGTCCTTCCATCAGTAGGTGGGTAACATGCTTCATCATTAGTTTCCTGGAATCCTGGTTGGATATTGTGCTGATAAAAGTTCAGCACAATAGTGTTCCAACATATTTGTATACCATGGCTTGTTCATCCATTCCCCAGTTTATGGGCACCCACTCAGATTCCCATTCTTTGCCACATCAAGAAGAACTATAAATATTTCTGTATATCCTTGGAATTTATTTTGCTTTGAACTAATCCCTTCCTCGATTTACCCTTCTAATATTTCCCCTTCCCACTTCCCTCTCATTTCTTTGTTGAGTGAAATGTATTTTTGTACCTGACTCTGTGTATATGTCTTCTTTCTTTTTACTAGTTCAGATGATGACGAGATTCAAGCGTTAGCAGTTCCTTTCACCATCTCCTCCTTGTTTGTATAGATATTTACTAGTGCCCTCTAATTATGTGAGACAATTTTACCTATCTTTCCTTTGCCTTCCTCTTTCCCCCGGTATTACTCCTCTTCCTCTCTCTTTCCATTCTTTTCTTAAGATCAAGAAGTAACAAGACCACTTTGTAGGCCTCACCTACCTCGAATCACTCTACAAACCCGAATGTTAGGGACCAGAAGGGACAAATATATCATTTCCCCACATTTGAATGTAAGCCATTTATCCCTGTGTAACAACACAAGATTTGGGGTGGGGGTGGGGGTGGGGTGGGGCAGACTCTCCTGCTGACTACACCAGTTATAAGGACAGGATATTTGTAGAGGAGCAGGCTATCTTGCCAGCTAGGCCAGTTGTAAGGAGGCTGATCTGTATTTCCCTCATAGGCCAATTGTCGGGATGCAGACCCTCCGTGACAATATTGAGATAACCAAAGAAAAGGGGACCTATGCCAGCTTGGTAGTAAATAGATTTTATTAGGATGAATTGGGTTGTTTAAAAGAATTTAGTCAACACGACCTAGACCTTGGCAAACAGTGGAATGGATTCCTGCACCAACCGCAGGTTGGTCAGGCCAGGCACTATACAGGAGCAGAACAAAGAAGGCATAGTATGCGGGATGGCCCAGGGTCATATGCAAGTGGTCCCATGAGATAGTTGGAGCTGCTTTTGCTGTTTATGTTTGTTCAAGGTAGTTTACATTCTCTGTGGAGACTAGCAGTCACGTTATCATTGTTCATTCACGTTTACCTTTTCATGTTTCTCTTCACTCCAGTGTTTGCACTTCAAAGTTTGCTCTGCAACTCTGGTTTTTACATCATGAATACTTGGAAGGCTTCTATTTCCATAAAGGTCCATTATCCCCACCCCTGTTACACCCCCCCCCCCATCCCTAACATTATATTCAGATGTTTTGGGTAAGTTATTCTTGGCTATAAGCCCATATCCTTTGCCTTCTGGCATATTGCATTCTAAATTCTTCACTGCTTTATAGTAATAACATCTAAATTGTGTGTGATTCTGACTGTGGCTCCTCAGTACTTGAATTCTTTCTTTCTGGCTACTTATAATAATTTTTCTTTGACCTTGGAGCTCTGGATTTTGGCTATGATGTTCCTGAGAATTTTCATTTTGGAGTTTCTTTCAGGAGGTGACCAGTGAATTCTTTCTATTTGTATTTTGCCCTGGTTCTAAAAGACCTGGGTAGTTTTCTTTTAAGATTTCTTAAAATATGATGTCTAGGCTCTTTTTTTTAGTAACATCATTCTGTTAGTCCAATGATTCTTAATTTTTTTTCTCCTTGATCTGTTTTCTAGGTCAGTTGTTTTTGCTCTGAGGTACTTCACATTTTTAGCCCCTCTTTTGGCTCAGAGTGGCATAATTTTAGGCTCCCATTTGGTCAAGCCCTGCCTTGCTTATTTCACCGTGTGCTAGGCTAGACATAGAAAATAAGACCTTGCTTTGAGCCTGAGATCTAAGCCATACCTCTGCTGCTGTCATTGCTGTTGGCTTCTGAATTTTTTCCATTCCCTGTAAAGAACCAGGTCTCCCAACTCCAGGAATTCAAGCCCCTACCATGATCAGGCCCCTTTTTCACTCTGCCCTGGATCTGTGACCATGGACTAGGTAGTGGACAGCAGAGCTGCCAACTGGCACCTGTATCAGGGGCATGTAGTGTACTTCTGGGGATGCCCTCTTCTCTTACCCTGGTGCAGTGTCTCTTACGGAATGCTCTGTGTATGTCATGCTCCTGCTCTGATCTGTCTCTAGCATCAGAAGACCTGCCTGTATGTCTCCTTAGGCCAAGCTGGGGTGAGCAAAGGACTCATCATGACTTTTTGTGGATTTCTCCACCAGGACTCAGTCTGGTGCACTTCCTAGATCCATTAGGAAGTATTTGTGGAGGAGAGATTACTGCATTGCTTCCTAGCCCTTTACCATCTTGGCTCCCCATTCCCCATCTCCCTTTGAGTTAGTTCTTAAGAAGTGTTTACTGAGTACTTATGCTGTGTGGAGCCTCTCCTAGGAACTAGATAGAGGTAGACAGATGTGAGAAATGAGAGTCATGGCTGTTGCCCTCTGTTCAGGTCACTGGGCATGTAAAATTAATCAAGATATGATCAGCCGCAAAGCAGTTCCACAGTAACCACAGAGCTTATCCTTTGTGTTTTTCAAAGCATCTTCACATTGACTATGTCATTTCAGAGTGTAGTTTGAGAACTAGAAGGGATTTCAGAGGCCATCTACTCCAGCTCTCTTATTTTACAGATGAAGAAACTGAGGCCAGAGAGGTTAAATGACTTTCCCAAAGTCTCACAGGTAAATAAACATCAGAGGTAGGCTTTTCACCAGAGTCTTCTGACTCCAGAGCCAGTGTTCCTCTAGCCCTGTGAAGAAAATAACTCTGGTTATCCTCATTTGTAAAATGAGGATATTGATCTTAGAACTGAAGTTTGAGCTAGAAGAGACCTTGGTGACCATCAAGCCATACAAACATTTCCATGATATTCCCATTGGAATAGGGTAAGGATTAGGGTGAATTCCAGGTTTAGAGCTGTAAAGGATTTTGGGGATAGATCCCAGTCTTGATGAAGGACCTAATGACCTGAGAGGTGAAGTGTTTGCCCAAGGTGAAACAGCTAATTCAAATCACAGCCAAGAGTAAGACCCAGGCTTCCTCACTCCTAATCTAGGGAGCAGATTCCTTTCTATCACATGGTCCTACTACTGAGATGAGAATAGCCAGAATCTTTACATCACGGTGAAGAAAGGAAAATGCCCACTATAAGACTGATGAGAGGTACCTCACAACATAAGGGGCCCAAGGGCTGACAGTCCCACGGACCTTGAGACCTATTTCCTCTGTATTATTCAACCCAGCAACAGCCCTACTGAGTAAGAGGATGAGTTGTGATATTTGTTAAAGATCACCTGTAGAAAGAGAATCTAGTAGACAAAGTCCCAGGCTAGGGCTCAGAACTCTAGTTCCAACTCTGCCATTTCTTTGTGATGTGACTTTGGGGAAGTCCCTTTTATGCTTGGTTTCCCCTTAATGCTAACACATAGCTCTAAACTCAATGGTGCTGTACCATGGAAAGGGCCTCTTCACCTGAGTAAGTACAAGGCAAGCTAGCTGCCTTTTGTAATGCTTCTAGTAACAGCAGCTGTAACAATGCAAACAAATGACAACAAACATTTCTATTTATAGTTCAAGATTTTTTATGTACTTCACATACATTAGATGCCTCAAGGTGGTACCGTGAACAGAGCACTGGACCTGGAATGAGAAAGACCTGAGTTCAGATCTGGCTTCAGATACTAGCTCTATTTGCTTTAGTTTCCTCATCTTTAGAATGGAAATAATAATAGTACCTATCTCCCAGTGTTATTGTGACGATCAACTGAGATAATATTTGTAAAGCACTTTGTAAATCTTAAAGCACTGATATACAAATATGTAAATTTAATTTACATGTAATTTAAATACAAGTAGGTAAATAATGTATAAATTAACATATAAATGCTAGTGATTACTGTTATTGGCTGTTATCTAATTTGATCTTTATTACAGTCCCAATGAAAGATGAATCCCTGGGATGCCAATGCTAGGAACACTTCAGTTTAACTCCTAGATTTCTATGCTACCTACTCAACAAAAATTAATCAATTAAAAAGCATTTGTTAAATATTTTCTTTGTGTTAAGCATTGTGCTAAAGCATTGGAGATACAAAGAAAGGCAAAAATATTCCCTGCTTCAAGGAACTCATAGTTTAATGGGAGAGAAACATGTAAATAAAGAGGTATATACAAAATATACACAGAGTAGATAGGAGATAACCTTGGGGGGAAAGCACTAGCATTTGGGAGATTGGGAAACGCCTCCTGTAGAAGGTGGTATTTGAACTGAGTCTTTTAAAATACAAATTTTTTATTTATTTTGTCAAATATTTCCCAATTGCATATAATTTTTTAACAATCATTTTAAAAATAAATTTTGAGTTCCAAATTTTTTCCCTTCCAACCCTTTCCTTTCTCGAGAAGGCTAGCAATTTAATATTGATTATACATGTGAAGTTATGCAAAACATTTTCATATTGCTGTGTCACAAAAGAAAACACAGAAACCCCAACTCCCAAGAAAAGTAAAGAAAATAAAAATAAAATATGCTTCAATCTGCATTCAGAGTTCATTAATTCTTTTTTTTTTTTTAGAGATATGTAACTTTTTCATCATGGGTCCTTTGCAATTGTCTTGGATCATTGTCTTGAACAGAGCAGCTAGGTCTTTCACAGTTATTATCCTTACATTATTGCTGTTACTGTGGACAATATTCTCCTGGTACTGCTCATTTCCCTTTGCATCGGTTCATATAAGTCTTCCCAGGTTTTTCTGAGATTATCCTGCTCATCATTTCTTATAGCACAGTACAATTCCATCACAATCATATATCACAACTTGTTCAGCCATTCCTCAATTGATAGACATCCCCTCAGTTTCCAATTCTTTGCCACCAAAAGAGGGCTGCTGTAAATATTTTTGTACAAATATGTCTTTTCCCCTTTTCTTTAATCTCTTTGGGATACAGTAGTGGTATTACTGGGTCAAAGGGTATTCACAGTTTTATAGCTTTTGGGGGTGGTTCCAAATTGTTCTCCATGGTTGGATCAGTTCACAACTCCAGAGCATTAGTGTCCCATTTTTCCCACATCCCCTCTGCCATTGTTGTTTTCCTTTTCTGTCATATCATCCAATCTGATAAGTGTGAGGTGGTATCTCAGAGTTGTTCTAATGTGCATTTCTCTAATTAATAATGATTTACAGCAGTTTTTCATGTGACTATTGATAGCTTTGATTTCTTCTTTTGAAAATTGCCTGTTCATGTACTTTCACCATTTATCCACCAGGGAGTGGCTCTTATTTTTGTAAATTTGGCTGAGTTCTCAATTCTCAGTGAGAACTGAGGCCTTTATCAGAAAAAAAACCAAACTTGGTGCAAATTCCCCCCCCCCAGTTTCCTGTTTTCCTCCTACTTTTGGCTGCATTAGTTTTGTGTGTATAAAAGCCTTTTGAATTTTGTGCCATCAGAATGATCTATTTTACTTCCTGTGATCCTCCCTGTCTCTTGTTTGGTCATACATTCTTCCCTTATCCATAGATTCGGCAGGTACATTTTTCCACGCTCTCCTAATTTACTTGTGATATCACTTTTCATGTCTGAATTATTTACCAACAGTGTGAGACGTTCATCTATACCTAGTTTCTGACAAGCTGCTTTCCAGTTTTCCCAGTAATGCTTGTCAAATGATGAGTTCTAACCCCCCAAAGCTCAGGTTTTGGAGTTTATCAGACACTAGATTAACTATTGTCATTTACCACTGTATATTGCATACCTAATCTATCCCATAGATCTACCACTGTATTTCTTGGTCAATACTAGATTTATTACGGCTTTGTCATATAGTTTGAAATCTGGGACTGCTGGACCACTTTCCTTCACATTCTCCCCCCCCCCATTTGATTCCCTTGATATTTTTGACCTTTTGTTCTTCTGGATGAATTTTATTCTTTTCTCTAGCTCTATAGAATACCTTTTTGGTGTTTGATTGCTATGGCACTGAATGAGTAAATTGATTTAGTTAGAATTGTCATTTTTATTATATTGGCTCAGCCTACCCATGAGCAATTGATATTTCTGCATTTGTTTAGATCTGTCTTTGTTTTGTGCTAAGTATTTTGTAATTTTGCTCATAGAATCCCTGGGTTTGTCTTGTCAGGTAGACTCCTGAGTATTTTATCTTTTCTGAAGGTTTTCAAATGGAATTCCTCTTATTTCCTGCTCCTGAGTTTTGTTGGTAGAATATAGAAATGTTGATGATTTGTGTGGGTTTATATCCTGTAAGTGCTGAAGTTGTTAAGTGTTTAAACTAGTTTTTTAGCTGATTCTCTAGGATTCTCTAAATATACCATCATAACATCTACAAAGACAGATAGTTCTGTTTCCTCATTGCTTATTTTTATTTCTTCAATTTCTGTTCCTTATCTTATTGCTATAGTTAGCATTTCTAGTACAGTATTGAATAATGGTGCTAAGAATGGATATTCTTGCTTCGTTCCTGCTCTTATTTGGAAGGCTTCAGTTTTTATCCCTGTTAACAAGAAATGCTGGACTTTGGTTTTAGAAAGATGGTACTTCTTATTTTAGGAAAGACTGCATTTACTTTTATGCTTTCTAGCGTTTTTAATAGAAATGGGCATTGCATTTTCTCAGAGGCTTTTTCTGTATTTACTGATATAATCCATGGTTATTTTTGTTGTTTTATTATTTTTGTTGTTTTTCTTATTGATATGGTGAATTATAGTGATAGTTCTCCTAATATTGAACTAGCTCTGCATTCCCAGTATAAATCCCCTTGGTCATAATGTATGATCTTTGTGATATATTGCTGTAATCTCCTTGCTAGTGTTTTATTCAAAATTTTGCATCAATGTTCATGAAGGAAATTGGTCTGTAGTTTTCTTTCTCTGTTTTTGCTCTCCTTAGTTTAGGTATCAAAACCATATTTGTGTCATAAAAGGAATTTCATGGAATTCCTTCTTTACTTATTTTTTCAAATAGTTTATATAATATTGATATTAATTTTTCCTTGAATATTTGGTGGAATTCACTAGTAAATCCATTTAATCCTAGGGATTTTTTCTTAGGGAGCTCATTTATGACTTGTTCAACTTCTTTTTTGGGGCAGCTAGGTGGCATAGTGGACAGAGCACTAGCACTGACGTCAGGAGGACCTGAGTTCAAATCTGGCCTCAGACCAAACACTTGACACTTACTAGCTGTGTGACCCTGGGCAAATCACTTAACCCCAACTGCCTAACCAAAAAAAAAATGCTAGATCAACTTTTTTCCCCAAGATTGGGTTATTTAAATATTCTATTTCCTCTTCTGTTAATCTGGACAGTTTATATTTTTGCAACTATTCATCTATTTCGCTTAGATTGTCAGTATTACTGGCATATAATTGGGCAAAACAACTTTAATGATTTCTTTAATTCATCTTCATTGTTGGTATATTCATTTTTTCATTTTTGATACTAGTAATTTGGTTTTCTTCTTTTTCTTTTTCTTTTTTTCTTTTTCCTTTTTCTTTTTCTTTTATTTTTTTAAATTTTAATTTTAATTTTTTTTCCATATGCTTTGAGTTGAAAATGGTTTTCTTCTTTTTAAAAATTAAATTAACCAATGGTTTATCTATTTTATTGTTTTTTAGGGGGGTTAAAACAGTTCCTAGTTTTATTTATTAGTTCAATGAATTTTTTATATTCAGTTTTACTCAGCCTTCCTTTGATTTTCAGGATTTCCATTCTGGTGTTTAATTAGGGATTTTTAATTTGTCCTTTTTTTAAAAGGTTATATAGTTGCATGTCTAATTCATTGATCTGCTCTTTCTCTCTTTTATTGATGCATACATTTAGGTCTATTAATTTTCTGTAATTGCTGCTTTGGTTGCATCCTACAAATTTTGGAATGTTGTCTTATTGTTGTCATTCTCTTTAGTGAAATTATTGATTGTTTCTATGATTTGTTCTTTGACCCACATTCTTTAGGATTAGATTATTTCAGTTTGAACTGATTTTTAATCAATGCTTCCATAGCCCTTTATTAAATGTGATTTTATTTGCATTATTGTCTGAAAAGGGTATTGTTGGATTCTGGTTTCTAATCCTTTTCTCTCCATCCTATTCTCTTCTGTACATCCCTCTCTCTCTTTCTCTTTTGTCCTGTCTCTCCAACAAAGTCTGTTTTGCTTCTGACTACTGCCTTCTTTATTTTGCCCTCTCATTTATCATCCCTTATCCCTTTCCCTTGTCCCCCTCTCATCTTACTTCCCTGTTAGGTAAGATGAATTTTCATTACCAATTAAATGTATGTTTTATGTATGTGTGTGTGTGTGTGTGTGTGCACGCATGTATATACACACATATCTATTTATATGTGTGTATATATACATATATATGTATATATGTATAATATATGTATATATGTTTTCCATCTGAGCCAATTTAGATGTGAGGTTCAAGCATTGCCTTGCCCCCCACAATTCTCCCTTCACTGTAAAATCTATTCCTTGCATGCCTCTTTTATGTGAGATAATTTTCCTCATTCTTCTTCTCCCTCCCCCCCTTTTTCAAGGGCATCCCTCTTTCTTGTTTATCCATTTTTTTCACATTACCCCAACACAATAGACTCATAATTTCCTTCCTTCTAAGTAGAATAC